TCAAGCTGATACGTAGGTCTACAAGGTCTTGTTCATTTGCCAGTGTTTGTATGTGGTCTGTATTTATGTATGTCTGCATAGTCAGATGAAAAATGTCTTTAGAATTTGCTTTAATAACATTCCAAAGATAAACTATGTGACCATTTGACAAGTCTAATCTATGACATCACAGTGTGCTGATTGAGACAAATCTTTGAAGGCTTTATGCCACCTTTTCTGCCTGCATTGTTTTGAACTGATCAACACACGCCGGTCAAGTAGTCAAATGTATTAAAAGGGTCCATAGGCCTTGTTAAGCTCTGTCAGTTGAAATTGAGTCACTTACAATTTACTAGAGTGAAAAGAGTCAAAGCTTGACAAGTTTAAAAAGGAAGTGTTATAATAAATTAATTTGGGAATTTAAGAATAGGTCTTGGTCCTTAGAACTACGGGTCTCTGATGCTGAGAATAATCACAGAATGCACCGAGTTGGAAGGGACCCACAAGGATCATTGAGTACAACTCCTGGCCCTGCACAGGACCATCCCCAGGAATCACAGTAAGTGCATGAGAATATTGTCCAAACGCTTCTTGAACTCTCTCAGGCTTTGTGCTGGGACCACCTCCCTGGGGACCCTGTTCCAGCTCCCAGACACCCTCTGGAGGAACAACCATTTTCTAATATCCAACCTAAACCTCCCCTGACACAACTTCAGGCCATTCCCTTGGGTCCTGTCACTGGTCACCACAGAGAAGAGATCAGTGCCTGCCCCTCCTCTTCCCCTCATCATTGTGACTGCAATGAGGTCTCCCCTCAGTCTCCTCCAGGCAGAACAGATCAAGTGACCTCAGCCACCCCTTATATGGCTTTCCCTCAAGGCCCTTCACCACCTTCACTGCCCTCCTTTGGACACTCTCTAATAGCTTAATACCTTTCTTACATTGTGGTGCCCAATATTGCACACAGTATTCAAGGTGAGGCTGCCCCAGTGCAGAGCAGAGCGGGACAATCCCCTCCCTTGACCGGCTGGAGATGCTTTGCCTGATGCCCCCCCGGACAGGGTTGGCCCTCCTGGCTGTCAGGGCACTGCTGACTCAGATTCAACTTGCTGGCAACCAGGACCCCCAGGTCCCTTTCTGTAGCACTGCCTTCCAGCACCTCATTCCCCAGTCTGTCCATACATTCATGGTTGCCCCACCCCAGGTGCAGAATCCAGCACTTTCCCATGTTGAACCTCATATGGCTGTTGATTGCCCAGTCCTCTAACTTGCCAAGGTCTCTCTTCAGAGCCTCCCTGCCTTCAAGGGAGTCAAGAGCTCTCTGAGTCTTGTGTCATCTGAAAACTTTCTTATTATCCCTTCCAGACCTGCATCCAAGTCATTTATGAAGATGTTGAAGAGCACAGGGCCTAAGATGGAGCACCACAGAACCCCACTAGTGACAGGTTGCATGGTTTAAGAATGCATTGTGGAAAAATTCCATAAAGCTCAGGTCTATGTTGCTGTGATCCTGAGACTGCAAAACCAGTGGGGTCAGTCACATCAATATATGTGAATTTATATTTGTAAGCTTATTAGTTTCAACTACCAACAATGAGGGACTGATGGTGAAAATAATTTTGAAGAAGCCTCTTTTTCTCCACTCACAACCTTTGTTCTTCAAAAGGATTATCTACATAACTTCATACCTTCTGTGCTATGTAGCAACCAGATTAAATTCAAGGTGATCCTGGCAGCCTGCCAGAATCAATGAGCAGTGCGTTGTGGTGCTTCACTGTACATTTTGAACTGTCATTTCACCATCAAAATAGGTAGACGTGAGAACCTGGCTTCCAATTCCTTTGCCTTTATGGAACAGTGTCACAGACTCTCTTCAATGCTGTGAGGTAGATCTTGCAAGGCAGGATGGTATTTTCAGGCTTTACTTTATCTCATTGTTGAAACCTGATTAAAATCTGTATCCACAAATACAGAAACATCAGGTTATTTTCCTAAAAAGATATTTATTTTTTATATACATACTGTGCAGCACTTATCTAGTATATATCCTAAACTTCTTTAATTAATCTAAAGCCAGCAATGCTTTTATTTATCCATCAGATTCTGTAATATTTTCTAAATGTGGTCAAACATAACTGCTGTCGTCATAATAGGAGCCAGTTGTTTAAATGCTCAGTTGTGAGTATCTAGTGAAATAGTTTTAAATAACAAGATAAACAGTACAGCTGCCAAACCAAAGTAATCTTACACTGAGGGGGCGTGTGGCACAGAAAATTTCCTCTTTGTCATTTTGATTTGAGTTTGAAGCTGGACCTGGGCTTAGTTCCAGCTCAAAAACACTATTCACTTCAAAGGCTTCTAAATCGTCCCAAGGAGCTAATTTTGGCAGCCAATTGTTTTTGTTTGGCCAGGCATCCTAATAGCAAAAGCCGTCTGCTCCACCAAATGAAGATTTCTTCAGTGCTCAGGCTTACTATTCCTGATTTTATCCTGATATGGGAGGGTGCACACTTTTTGCTGGTTTCCCTGTCTCACCCCAAGTTCACCACTTGTTAAACTGTTCACTATTTTTTAAACTGTACCTAACTGTCTGGCGTGTAAATTCAAAATATACTTACTATTTTAAAAATAGAGGATAATGTATTCTGCTCTGAATTACTGCTTAATCCTAAATTATTGCTGGATTATCTGCTTGCTTTCTCAGCAACTAGTAAATAGTTTGTTGTTTTTCCATTCTCATGAACAGTATTAATCTGGTTAATTTACTGAATTAAATATAACTAGCTTCACTTTAGAAGAAAACCATTTGCAGCTGTGTTGGAGATACTATCATATTTTTTATAATAATTATGTGAACAGCTTTTCCTTCAGTAAGAAGGTGCTTGTGATGCCAAAAAGACACTGACAAATAAAATACTGTGCCATTCTTAAAGCTTAATATGAAAATGTGCAAATAGACTGTTTCTGTTGAGGAAGAAATTGGTCAGTACAAGACATAGAGAAACATTAAAAAGTAAATCTTGTGAATCATTTAAGAATGGGACAGTATTCACTTTCACGCCACACAGGGAGTATTTAATTTTGAATGTATATCTCTACTTTGCTATTTTTAGGTTTCTGCACCAGAATTTTGGGAGAATCATACCAAACAAATTTAAATATGAGATATAAGAAATTATATGGTCACAGTTTGGCAACATGCAATGCAGATGAAACTCAAGTGGGCCCTGTCAGTGTTTACATGAAGTTTACCAGACATCAGAATTGCTCTGTTTGTGGAGATGGAGCTGAACAGTGATCTGTGAAGTTGCTAAATCCAGATTATCCAGAGAATAATAATTTGGCTTCATGTAATTAAAAAAAAAAAAAGAGTTTTCATTCTCTTTTTAAGAAAAAGTCAACCTTTCAAATTGGGAAATGCACTGAAAAGGTAAAAATTTTGGCTTTCATTCACACATAGCCTCAGACCCATTATCAAGATGGTGCAGTTCCATGCACTTTTGCAGAGCACTATGCTGACAATAGAAAACAGTAGGAAGTGCTCAGACCAACTTCTTAAAAATGTATCATCAGATCTTGGAAAGCTGAGAGTTCATCTGTGGCAGGTTGCTTTCTGAAAGGAAAAACAATTTTAATGCAAACCAAGTATTTTCTATTGTTATATTATTCTCATTATTTCACAGTCCAAGAAAATAATTTTATTAAAAATGCTTTAAAACCTTGATCTTAAATGGGCATGGACTTGCCAGTAATTTACCATGGGCATTTATTAGTAAGTAGCAAAATCAAAATTTGTTAGAATACTTAGTTTATTTTACTTTCTTGCTTGTTTTCTGAATTGACATTGTACTCTTAAGACACAGGGTCTCTTGCATTTCTCTTATTGAATTTAGATTTGCAAGCATTTGCATTTTAAAAAATTGAATGTAATAGCCATGAACTTTGCCTAGAAAAAAAGGTGTTCAGGGGTCACCCTGCTTGTCAGGACTCCTAATCAATTTGTTTCCACTAATACATATTTTATATATATTTATTTTTTACCATTTCATATGGAACTGGTTTAATATCCATGTTTTAATGTTAACCAAGGTAGAAAAGTTAAAATATAGCATGATTTTCTTGCTGTCTTTAACCTGCCTGGTTGCCAAGGAGGATAATACACTTTTGAATACCATAATTTGCAAAAGACTATAAAATCTAATTTCTAGAGAAGGAAATTTTTGCAGTACTTACAGTTGCTTTCAATTAAATAAATTCTTGTGCTCTTCTTCAAAGTAATATTCATACAACATCTTCATAAATGACTTGGATGCAGGTCTGGAAGGGATAATAAGAAAGTTTGCAGATGACACAAGACTCAGAGGAGCTCTTGACTCCCTTGAAGGCAGGGAGGCTCTGAAGAGAGACCTTGGCAAGTTAGAGGACTGGGCAATCACCAACCGTATGAGGTTCAACACGGGAAAGTACCGGATTCTGCACCTGGGGTGGGGCAACCATGAATGTACGGACAGACTGGGGAATGAGGTGCTGGAAGGCAGTGCTACAGAAAGGGACCCGGGGGTCCTGGTTGCCAGCAAGTTGAATCTGAGTCAGCAGTGCCCTGACAGCCAGGAGGGTCAACCCTGTCCGGGAGGCCATCAGGCAAAGCATCTCTAGCCGGTTGAGGGTGTCTGGGAGCTGGAACAGGGTCCCCAGGGAGGTGGTCCCAGCACAAAGCCTGAGAGAGTTCAAGAAGCATTTGGACAATATTCTCATGCACTTAGTGTGATTCTTGGGGATGGTCCTGTGCAGGGCCAGGAGTTGTACTCAATGATCCTTGTGGGTCCCTTCCAACTCGGCATATTCTCTGATTCTGTGATAATGTAAAAAATATCTGTTTCGTATTTGGTTTTTTGCATAATTTGAATTCCAACTGATATAATGAAATGTATCTAGAAGACAATATACTCTAAAATACCTTAAAAAAAGTTACATCCATTTAAGCCAAACTTAACATTTTTTTGTCTCTCTTATTTCTTTAGGACTTTCGAACAGTGGTACCATCTATTTTTCTCTTCGAAAAGTTTGGAAAAACTTACTCCCGCGCTGGGCAAATAGTGTAGTTGTCCTGGAAACTACACAAGGCGCCTGAAAAGTAATCAATAAATGTATTTCAGCAAATGCACAGAAGAATGTTGACTGAATGTCCCATAAAGTACTCTTCCTGTGATGTATACTATGTCTGAAGTAACGTTAATTGATTTTGCTTGATCTTTAAGCGATATGGCTTCCAGGATTTATAAAAAGTTTTTTGTGTGTTTTTTTTTAAAAAAATTAGCTTAAGAAAATGATTTCTGAAAATGCTGTATTTTATTTAACATAAGTAATTTAGGATAGAAAACCAGAGTCATCAAGTAAAATACTTGGAATCACATTTATTTGTTACAGATTTGTAAATGAGTTTAAAAAAAGAAGAAAGTTTAAAATTTACATCTGGTTTTTTCCTCACAACTATAAATGTACCTGCTTCATCACTGTTGTTCATCATTTTCAGTGTTATTAGGCATCCTTTTTGGCTATGGATTCATGTCTTCAGAAGTGCAGGATAGGCATTTACATGGAAGATACTCTTTTAAATCCTTTTAGCACTTCTGTGGGTGGTAGAACTTTTGTGTTGAAAAAACAAAGTTCTGACAAGATCTATGCCTTACTATTAGATCAGTTTTTCTATATGCACTTAATTTTCTTTATCACTACCTGTGTATTTACTCCTAGTCCTGTGTTAAGTGAGGCCATAATCATGTGATGCTTGGCAAGAAGAACACATTTGATGACACAAAACTGATACTAGTTTGCTCTGTTCACTAGCAAGCAATCCTGCAAAATAGTGAGTATCCTCAGAGCCCATCCACTTCAAAAGACTCAAGGAATTCAACATCATGAGAAGACCTCAGCGTATCTAAAGAGCAAATCATAATAAGCTAATTCTTAAAATTATGTGAGTGAATTTTACAGGAGTTTTATGCTGAATTCTCTATGATAACTTATTTACTTTACATATCATTTGACTATATTTGAATCAAATATATCTGTTTATCTGTGGTTCATGGTAGGCTTTTTATTACTGAATTTTGTTATGTGATTCTTCTGTGCACTACTACTGTGCAGAAAACCTTGAAGAGATGTCTGTTTTTGTGAATACTTTCTGAATTGGGTCTAGTGAAAGGTGTCTCTGCTCATGGCCGGGGGCTTGGAAACAGACAAACTTAGGCTCCTTTCCAACCCAAACCATTGTATGATTCTATGAAGCAGGAGTTACAAATTTCCCTTCCATAGGTTTTCAGCTATCAGGCTGTGAAAAAGTTTTCCTGCTATCACACACCACAGTAAAAGCCCTTTCAATTCCGTTCCAGCAGGTTGTGAGTGCAGGCACTGGACTGTACTGGTGCTACTTTTTGAAGTTTGTTATTTTCAAGCTTTAAAAAGTCTATTCTGCATGGCAATGAGAATTAACTCTGGGAAGCAGAAAGCAGCCACCTCAGTGGCTGATAAGATTTAATCTGATCCAATGTATCAGAGTGCTTTAGTTGTTCCTGGAAGGGATTGAACATGAGACACTTGTGCAAAACTGTTGATGAATAAAGATGGCACAGTAATTTTTATATGTGAGAGCTATCTATTTGATTGCTTCAGCTTTAAGGTAGTTCATCACAGTAATTCACCCTGTGTTGCCTCTTTAACTTCATACCACAGTTTCCCATCAGTTCGATTAGAAATGGCAATGCCTTTATCAGATTAATCTTTCTTTCTCTTTCTTCCTTTCAGTATCTCTGACCCCAGAACAAAACAAAATCTACCTTGCAGCCTGTACTGCACTGGCAGAAGTGCTCATAGCTGAGGGTCCAGTGCACAGACGGAGGTTAAAACCAACACTTCTAATTGTAATTGTTTGATACATACACACCTTTCCTCCTCTTATGAAAAAAAACAGACTTTTCTGTTTCTAAGCAGATAGCTGCTTGCCAGAAACTTTCTTACACAAAACCAGGTCTGATTATTTTATTGGATGAATAAACATCCACAAAATTAATAGAGTAACAAATATATTACCTGTGAGGTTTGGGGTTTGGGCTTCTTTTACCAATTGTATGTCATAGGGAATCCAATTCTTACCTTTATCTGGAGTTCAAACAGAATTTATGTCGCTCATGAGCATGTAGCATCCAAACTATTTTGTGTGACCACACTAAAATCCAAGAATTCTTTTATTTCTCATTAAGTGCATGCAGCACGTATTCAGTACATTTACACTAACCATTTAATAATTGTTCTAGAGGGACCTTTACCAACTCTTTCATTATGTAGAGACTTTTTATTATTTTTATTGCTCTCATAAATAGCATATAAACATATGAAAAGGGCTGACAGAGAAGTAGCTAGAATATGTTTTTAAATATAAAAGCATATTCATCTCAGAAACTTTAGCTGGATTTTGACTGACTTCTTTAAACTCCCAACCAAATGCTGCTAAATCCAGGAACCTTTGTGAGCTTGGACAGGAGAAGCTACCTCTACATTTTTTGTGTATACGGTGAGGCTAATGGAGAAAACTCCCAACATTAAAAGGAACAGCTAGGAATAATTTAAGAACCTAGTCCTGGGAAACCTACAGCATGTTGGACTATTTTGATCACAAAGGCAGCTCAGAATTAATTATATTATAGCACAGAACACACCAGTAGATTTTTGTTAAGCAGAGGAATTCAGCATCCTGGACAATTCAAAAAGTAGTTTGAAAGTGAATGTTAGCAACTCTGCAGTGTATAGGAAAGGAAATAAAAGATACATTTTAGTACTGGGGTAGACCTAATTTCTGTGACCCAGGAATAGACTACCACTTCCATTTGGTAACTTCCTGTGGCAAGCAAGTGAATGTGTCTGTCTGGCAAAGAACATTTTGTTTTGCTGCTTTGCTTAAATCAAAATGTTTGCATATAGCAAACTTGCAGTTTTTATCTAAAGCCAGTTAAAGCTAAAATTTTGATATTTTAATTAACTACAATAGTGCAGTGAACAAGACAGTAAAAATTTTGATGAAGTCATTACATAACCAGCTGTCTATCAGTATAAACACTGATTGTGTTCAACTTTCTTATTGATACAGTTTACCATATCAGTTTTAATTATCAAATTGCTTTTTCTAATATTTGACTAATGTGTTTTAATATTTTACTTACTCTAGGTTTTCCTCATCAACAAAATTGTTGGTTTTATAGCATTGTAATACCAAATTGGGTGTACTTCAGAGAAGATTTTTCTGTTTTATAGGAGATGTTAAAATCCATTTGCACACTACAAAATCTTAACATGCAGAATGGGTATAGTTAGAGGCACCAGGAAATGAGTACTCTGAAAATTTGTGGGGGATTCCTGGATCTTGGTGAGTCTACAAGATATGTAGCCTCTTGGACATTTAGGAAAATTGTCACAGCAGTATCTGAAAATCAAAAAGAATCACTGTGGTGGTAGGAAAATAGACAAATGTAAGAAACTCCATATTAGTCTTCAGAAAAAGAAGCATAATTACTCTAATTGTCCCACTGAATGTATTTCAGTCCTGGTTGCTGTTTTCTGGAATAACAAAATATGGCCTTCAGCATGCAGCAATACAAAGACAAGTGTGTTCCTTGCTTTTCAGCAGCAGAAACAGGAGTAGTTTTTGTAATTTGAACTGATTTAGTACCCGTGTACAGAGGGGAAAAAATAACGTTGGACTTTTTCATACTGCATGGCTGAAGAGGCTTAACAATGCCTTTAGGAAGCAGCACATACTGGGAAGAACTCATCATACTCACTAACAAAGTATCTCTAATATGTCACTTAGATATTTTTGTCTAACATACAAAAAGCCTGGAACATAATACTTTGATGTCCACTTATGTCTGAGCAATTTGTGTAGATTATGGATCTTGAGAGAGTCAAATATTAAAGTTATCTTTTCCTGTATCAGATGCTCTGGCCTACATGGCAGGTGCTAATGGTTCAAAGCCTCTTTGCACCTCTTTGCTAATGACCAATGAGTTTTGGATTTAACCACCAGTGGGGATGGCAGCGTTCATAGAAAGATACAGGCAGAGCCATTAAAAGGGAACAACTGTGTGCTAAAAGTTCTTCAAAACTCACATCATAAGACGTTTCAGGGATATCAGGAAACGTCTGGTAACATCTTTTCTTGCCAAACCTACGTGCTGTTACTCAATGGATTAAGGATCTTTCAGTGTTGCTGCCCAATAGCTTTGTTTGACTGCTACATAGCTGATGTTGTAAACACAGAAAAATCTCTTAATTTAAGTAATTTAAGAACTGCCTTCTGGGTTGATCCAAGATGTTCTCAACACTTGTCAGAGAAAACATTTAGCTTGCAATGCCCTCTAGAGGCAGATTTGCCTTAGTAGTGGTGACCGCAGATAGGCCCTTTACTTTTCTGGTCCAGTACTGGAGCTTTCAAGAAACAGTTTTTTTTAATTATTTTTTTTAATTTTATTTTTGTTTGTTTGTTTTACTTTTTTTTTTTTTTCCAAATAAGCCACACTTCACATTTGTGTAGGAGCAGAGATCTGGAATTATTAGGGGCTCTGCAACTGACCCAGATGCCTCATTCTGGACTTGCACAGAACGTGCTCCCAGGTGAGATGGGGCCATATTTAAACTGCAAAGCAAGATGTCGATGCTTGCAGACAATAATGTATTTTTATTTACAAATACTTTACGTTGAATAAGACTCTGAAAACATAAAAAATATTTCTAGCAGCTTACTGTTATTCCAAAGGATGTGTTTGCAATGTGCCTTCTATAAATTTGTAGTCCTCAGTTTAATAAATTCAAAAGTTCTGCACAGTCGAGTTTGTTAGAAAGATGAGGATCTCTGTCTTTTACTGGCAGCCATGGGCTGCTATACTCGGAACAGCAGGGACTGAAAAAGAGAGGATGAGCATAATTTCTTACTATCAAAATCTTTGTTATCCCATATTAAAATAGAAACTCTACAACCACAAAGGAGTCACCTCCATGTAAGCAGAAACAGAATTTGAACCTTGAAGCTTTTATTTGTCTTAACTTCATTCATAAAAGATTTTGGGGGGTGAATTTAGTTTCACTAGTTGACAGAG